TGATCTGCTATACAAAAATAGCAATTTCACCACAAGCGAAACACTAACAAGTTTATACGAACACAATCCAAAAACAACTGGGCAAAATTTACGCTCGAAATCACATGAATGCATAACAAAATAATCTAAACAAAGCGTAAAAGAAATCTTCAAAATTACTCACCTGAATAAATTTGTACACCAAACAATTATTCTTTTAAACGTAACATTCGCCTGTAACATTCGATGTGACAAACTCAACACTTTTAACAATTCAGTTCAACTTTATTGGTTGATGGACTTTCCTCGCAGATATATCCCGCATCGTAATTACGCGCGCGTTTCCGCCGGCTTCCGATTTTCAAATAAACTAACCAAGATGGCCGACGCCGGCTGACATTGTTATAAATAGTGATGGCGCACGCGGTCAGAACACGTTTATCGATATCGAAATTAGACTTGTGTACAATGCTTACTTTAGGTTTCAGTTCGATTAAATCCTAATCAAATGCGATCTGAAATTAAAAACAATAATTTTATCTCTTTAATATGTGTGTTTATTTTGCCAAGTATTGCAATACTTTGTTTTTTTTTTGCTGCAGAAAATGTAATAAGTAAATTAGTGATGTTGTGTAACTGAACGGATCAATGTTAAATACTTTGATGCAACATCTACGTTGTTTGAAAGTTAATTGATTACTCGAATATCTTACAACTACTGAAACAAGAACAATTAAAAAAAAACACCACGACTCACAATCATTTGACAACGAAATTGCAGGAAAATGAAATGTATTAATGCACTTGCAGTGTAAAAATATATAATTTATCGATACGTGACTCCCATAACTATTAAGTAAGCAATTTGGTAACATAATTGTCATATTATGTATTGTTTGTTCAGATTAAAGTTGATCAAGAATTTTTCTATCATGTTGATACGTTGTAAAAATAGACGAACATAAATAAAAACGTGTCACACTGAAAATTATATAGAAAATTCGAATTTGAATGTTTTTTGTATCAACGTTTCGAAAGTGGAAACCCACAATTACATTATACATGTACTTTGTCTTAAAAAAAGTGACTCAAATATACTCCGAGGAATATTCCTACTACTCGTACTATAAATAGTGTAACGGCTATTTAAAGACAATATAAGAAATCTTACTTCTTACTTATATTATTATATAAATACGAATAATTTGATAGATCGGTGGATGGATGTTTGTTTGAAAGTATCTCCGGAACGGCTTAACCGATCTCGCTGAAATTTTGTATAGATATTAAACAAAGTCTCGAAGAACACATAAGTTACTTATTAAGTTTTTTTTTAATTCCATGCGGACAGAGTCGCGGGCGACAGCTAGTTCTTAAGATCTTCCTACTCGTTTTGGGTTACCATATGATTTTTGAGCATTGGTCAAATGCACGAGTTCTTAGAACATCATGATATAATGCCAACAAATGGGCAAAGACATAATTTTTGGCTTATAGCCAAATGCTACATACATCTATTAGTGGATACTTTGTCAAGTAATGGTTTGAAAAATTATCCAACTGTTGATAATAGTTCGCTGTAATAACTTCACACATTTCGACTAAAATGTATGGACGGAGAAGCGATCAGAGATCATGGTAACTTGATATATTTAATAGTGCTTACCGGATTGGGTTCTATACTTACGACTCAATTCATTTTAAAATAGACACTCCAATATTAGATATATGTACAGACTACCTGTCGCCCCCGACTTCATCTTCGGAGATAAAAAAAAACACAATTAGTAGCCTATCTGTTATTCCAGACTATTGTCTACATCTATGCAAATCTTCAGCGAGATCCATGCCGCCTACCCGGAGATACCTTTTAACAAACATTCATCCATCCAACCAAACATTCGCATTTATAATATTAGTAAGATTGTCGATCAAATCACTCCGCATGGAAACAGAATATAGAAAAACCAGTGCTCATAGTAAATGTACCAACACTGTAAGCATACCGGAATATTCGCATAAAAAGGTATTATTGTTTCAGTTTTTTTCAGAAAAGACAAATGTTTCGGTAATGAAAATTCATTGTTACCGAATTCGTGTCAAGCGCAGGGTCAAGTGTGCGAATTCAATGTTGGTCAGTTAAAATCTAATTTTAGGATATTTTGAAAAATATAAAGATTCTTACTATAGTGAAACATACTAAGTGACTTAACTAATCTTATCAAACATCTTATTTCAGTCAGATTGTAAGAAAAATGTCACTATTTGTTTTAATATTAACAAAATTGTATGAAACCAGAAGACCAGATGTTAAAATATTATACAAACACAGATAAAATTCACTCTTATCACATGAATTGCAAATATTTTTTTACAAATCTATCATAATAAAAGACATTGCGATAAGATCTTTTCGCAAAGATTTCATCTCGGGTAACAAAAAATAATAGCAAAGATTGCCTTTGATTATTTTAAATGGTAATATTTGTACTTACTTTTGTATATTTCTTTACTTAATTTATATCTTGGAAAAGGTTCTACGTCCATTTAATACAATAACTAACTTTTTATTGCTTCATTTATCATCTGCCAGTCCTTCCCTCTCATGTAGAGTTGCTTTTCCTCTATAGGTCATGATTTCAGTTGCCGCTCCTTTCCTAACCATGTTACCTTCCGTCCATTTCTTCTTAGGCTCTACCGTTGGACACCTCCACATTCGTATTTAAAGTTTTCCTTATCACATGTAATTCCTCCCTCGTCATAACATCACCGTCATGCATCACCGTACCGAGGGGCGAGCTTACCCAGAGCTAACCCAAGTTAGAAGTGACTAGGCCAAAGTCAACTACACTGGAATAGTGTAGTTGACTTTGGCCTAGTCATTTCACACATGTGTTTGAATTTCTTCGATGATATATGCAGGGTGTACCACGAAGTTTTCTTTCACCTTATATAATAAATATAAATACAAAATTAAGCATGATATAAGAATATCATGCTTAATTTTGTATTATAATTAAATATAACGTTCCCTATAGAACAACGTCAAGTAGCAAAAAGTGGGTTGTTCACGTGTTTAATATCAGAACAGATTGATGTTATTTTTAGCTACAGTTATAAATTATTCAAGAATGTGCCATACATGTTCGTAAATCAATATTTGATTTTGCTATTAAGTAAATAACGTTATGTACTTACTTATGTATTAAGTCGTTTTATAATTAAATTTAAAAACCGAAGGTTTTCTTAAATTATTTTTTTTCTGTCTAAGTTTTATTGAAATAGTTTGTGATTGAAAATAATGTGCAAATACGAAACTCGGTATGGCTAAAAAAAATAATGGGGGAAGTGGGAATCTTTTTCATTTTTTAAGTGCGTATTTAGTTTACGTTAGCCGTCAGAGCAATCATTCATCGCGTTTTTTATTTTAAATCTCGTCTGCTATTTTTGGCAAATCTTACGATATTTTTCACTCGCAAAGTATGCATATTTATGACTTTCTTTACTCAACCACGATTTGTTTATGCTTCGACATTTAGCTTACTTTCTTTGAAAAGATTTGTTTATTATATATTGAATTAAATGTACGTACTCGAATTGTGTATAGCGTTGATTCATGATTGAAAGAAGGTAATTATTTTTCGCAGGCGCGTAGTTGTGTGGGTTGGTGAGTATTCGTCCATTTCCTTGTATAACATTGTGCTTGTAGCCTCTGAAATCAAATAACAATCTAAAATTTGCCTACAATATAGCGTTACGATCTACTTTTCTTAAGTTCTGTTCTTGACCCATCCTACATACTTTTACATTGGAACAAGATGCATAACAAAATGTTCAAGTACAAGGCGTTCACCTCAATGTTTTATTATAAAATGGATTTATCGAATATAATTGAATTTAGCGTATATTTATCAGAATGCAACATCGTCATATCAAAGTAACGCAATAGAGTTTGCACCTGTTGCTAATAAATGGTCTAGCCACAAGTGTATTCATTATTATTATGAATATAAGATGTAAAAGATGGACTATTTTTCATGACTGATTTAATATTCTCTTAGCGCAAGCGATGACGTCTGCGGTGACCTGATTCTATTTTGTTTTATTCTCGAAGATGCCCGTCTTCAGAATGTTTTAGTAACATGAATTATCTTAGAAGAATTTATAGAGATAATAGCACTTCGGATTATAATGCGATAGTCATTGGTTCGTTCAACTGGTAGTTTATACTAGTCACTTACTTTAACAGTATTAAAATATAATAATCGCGACTAGTCGCCTAAAAGGACACATTTACATAATTTAACATTTAAAAGCGCCTGCGTGAATTTTATAGTGATATACAAATGTGTCTTCACTATGAAGATATTCGTAGGCGCCAAGACAAATATTATATGGATTCTTATTATTCTTACTGCTGTACTTTTATTATATATCTATTTATCATTTAAAAAACAAATTGAAAAAGCATTAAATAAAGCGCAGATGCATACGCATCTGTTAATGAGTAAACTACGCATGGCTTTATAATCGCCACCATATTTTAATATCCTACCAATCTACTATAGTTAAGGGAATAATTTCACTTCTTTTCATCTCCTTTTAAAATAGAAACGATAATATTAATCTTGAACAGAAATAGGCCACAGTGGCAATCTTACAGGCGGCCTTATGACCTTAATTACTTCACTGTTTCTATAAGATATTGAAAATCTAATGAAGAGTTTTGTAACATGTTTAAATAGAGACGAGTTGAATTTAAGTAATGTGTAATAGTTTAGAACAGGGATACCAAAATTATGGACCGCAAGTTAAACATTATGGCAGAAAATTTAAGGTAAGTTGTTTATCGTATTTTATTGTTACGTATGTTCTTAACTTGAAAATGTTTAGGTAACTTTTGCTCTAACAGTTTGGAACCTCTGGCACAGACAATTGAAACTAAATAATTGAGCAATAGTATAATTTGTAGGCCGTGCAATTAGCACATTGAATTTACTACTTTTAGTGCTGTGTCTTTTTCGACTAGCGTCATTTTCAAGCTGATATCTCTCCGAAACAACTTACCAGGTAAGCGAAATTTTAATTATCACAAATCTTTATCGCAATTTCACGATTTGTTGAAACCATTCCTGTACATGTTTAATTTCTATCTTTGTTTTTCAGCCATGGATCCAGCCTTAGCATTTGAGCAATCCATAATTTCTAGAAACCAATTTTTGTTCGAGACAGTACATCGTGACAATTCTGCAATACAACGGTTCTATGGCGGTCGAGTTATTTTTATCACCGGAGGATCTGGTTTCATGGGAAAATTACTTATCGAAAAACTATTCAGGTTAGTATCCAATATTATATTACATTTTAGTATAGGAATAGGGGACAAAAGAGCAGCGGATCGCCTAAAATTATTTAATCCGACGCCCATGGATATCCGCAATGCCGCAAGAAGTTAGTTATAACATATAATAAAAAAATATATTTTATATGTGAAAAAAAAACAAGAAGAGGCATTAATAGCAGCAGAAATCGTACGAAAGTAGAAAAAACGAGAAAGGACCTAGCTAATTTTAAGACTGTAGTCTCCGTCTGCCTTTGGCTTCCGTTGTTACTTATCCAAGTTGTGTTGTTGTTTTTTGTCTATTATTAAATTCAAGTTTATTTTTTTCAGAACATGTGAAATCAAAAAAATGTATGTTATGGTTCGACCCAAGAAAGAATCAATGCCATGTCAAAGAATAGTAAAGATATTCGAAGATCCTGTAAGAAATAACAACGTATAATAGTTTAGTCATGTTTTTTTGGCATAAAGTACAATTTCTTCTCTTACAGGTGTTCGACGGTTTGAAAAAAATGCAACCGAATTTCGTTGATAAAATTGAAGCAATAGAAGGGGATATTGCTGAAACACGATTAGGTATTAACGATAACAATTGGAATAGATTGATCGAAGAAGTAAATGTTATATTCCATATGGCAGCCGTTGTTAGATTTGATGCACCACTTAAGTCAACTGTATTGTCGAATGTACGCGGAACACGGGAAGCGATTCGTTTGGGAAAATGTTGCAAATTGCTACGTAGTTTTGTTTATGTCTCGACAGCTTACAGTCATGCGACTCGAAGTCGTATTGGAACTGAGATATCGGAAGATTTTCACGAGAGTCCAGCATCTCCTGATGCACTTATACAACTTGTTGAAACTCTCGACGAAGACAAGCTTAATGAAGCAACACCCGTGTAAGTTTTTTCTTAGATATATAGTTTTACGTATAGAACAGAACTTAGAAATCAGAGATCATGAGACAGATGGTTGCGGAATCCAACGTTTAAAACTTATGCGCTTTGTAATTGACATCCTTTAAAAGGTTGAATCAATATTAACACTTTTGTTTTATTTATTTTATTAATAACTAGTTGTCGCCCGCGACTTGCCCGTCCCGTCGACGCGCCCATCGGCGCGAAATTAAAAAGAAAAACTATTGGCCGCATCGTAATGTTATATAGCCTAAAGCCTTCCTCTATAAATGGTCCATCCAACAAAAAAAAACAGTAGTTCCTGAGTTTAGCGCGTTTAAACAAACAAACTCTTAGGCTTTATAATATTAAGTACAGATAGCGTATCGTTCTTGTTCACAGTTTAATAAAGGATTGGCCTAATACTTACTCATTTTCAAAAGCTGTCGCAGAAGAAATGATACGTATTACGGCTGGAGACTTGCCGATTTGTGTCGTAAAACCAGCTATTGGTAATATATCTGTTTTGTCTACACTAGTTCATTTGGATTTTCAATAGATAACTTATAAGATATTTTCAGTTATACCTACCAATCGTGAGCCCGTCCCAGGTTGGATTGATACGAATTGTGTCTTTGGTCCAAGTGGAGTAAGTTATTTTTTATACAAAGTCAGAAATTAGTCTTTATTAAATCTGATTTAACCACTTAGTACTGGTGGCACTTTCTATAGCCTTGTCTATTGCCTTGCATTAGTAGACAAGATATTTTTTTAATTAGATTTGTTTTCTCCCCAGCTACTTATTGGAATGGGGTTAGGTCTATTGCATGTATTCTTCGCGGATGTTAACATTAGAGTTAATATTGTGCCTGGTGACATTGCCACTAATGCGGTGATCGCCACGGGATGGCAGACGGCAAGGCGACATGCCGCAGGTGACAAGGAGACCAAAGTGTACGCAGTCAGCAACGTAAGGAATCCTGTTCAATGGGGTAAGATATAGAAATTAACCTAGGTAACAAAAGAAAATTTCATCTAATATTCGATGATTTGATATTATTACACTTTTCGATGTTATTAAAATTAACTAGCTGCTAAAAATACAAATTTATATCGAGTTTTATAGTTCCAATAATATAGAAAGCTGTAGAGACGGCTTCAGCTAGACAGATACGGATTGAAGATAATTAATGTCTTAATGTGATTTTTCTTAATACATATTTCAGGTACAATTGGAAGCTATTTCCGAGGCGATGCTAAAAAATTTATGTCCCCATTGGTAACTTACTATCCGTGGGGAGTCGAGACTAAGTCGAAATTTATGTTCTTTATTTACTCCTGGCTTTTCCACTTCATACCAGCTTATATTATTGACGCAATTTGTATGTTGATTGGAAAACCAAGAAGGTATTTATCAAAATTCTATTTTTGGGTATATCAATGATTCAATTTTATTTACTTTAAATTATCAAAATGTTCGAGAGACATTACCATACATTCATATTTTAACGATTAAAACACTCACGTATGTTAATACAGTGTCGGCACCGACTAGTTTCAAGGTCATAGGGGGCCCTTTATCAGTGGGTGAGTGGGAATCGTATAATTTCGCGGACACGGAGCGACCGGTCGCCTCCGCATTCACCCTGTTGAACGGCTCCCGATTGGCTCGAAACTAGTCGATGCTGACACCGGACGAATTTACGTGAGTGTTTTAGTTCAGTTCTTTTTTTCAGATTTGTAAAGCTATATGAAAAAGTCTACAAAATGACAAAAGTATTTAGTTATTTTAATTGCAATGAATGGAAATTTAGCGATGATAATCTACGGCAATTATATGTGTCAATGGCTAATGATGATAAAGAGATTTTCAATATTGATTTAACTGATATCGATTGGTTTGATCAAATGAACATTTGGATAATTGGCCTGCGTAAATATATTGTCAAGGACGGTCTTACTGGAACAGGTTACGCCTTAAAGAAATATTACTTACTGAGATTCATCCACTACATTATATCAGGTCTGTGTCTATATTCCTTATGGAAAGCTTCGTGTTGTGTGTTCTATTTCTTGAGTTCCATTTTTTAGGATTCAATTTGTATCACGTTTTTGATATTCTTTTGTTAATTTTTATAATAAAAATAGTGTATAATAGTATTCTTAAAAACTGTCTTTCGTGTTTGATACGGCCCTAAAAAAATGATGGTTTAACATGGGTTTCTGAGACCAAAACCTTCGTTTAAAACATATTGATATCTCTGTTTTGTCAACAAGGATATGTTTGTATGTCGATATGTTTTATACAGATTTCGGTCTCGGAAACCCACGGTTACTTATGCAGTTATTTCATATACTTTATTATATCCAGACTCAAATAATCGTTATGTCGAAAAATGATTGCCGCACAGGTGTTGATTTGAACTTTAGTCTTGTGGTCTCAAATGCAAAAAGAAAGACTAGAAAAAAAAACAAATTAATTATTTGGACAAACGGATATCAAATTTTTTCGACTACATGTCGCCCGCGACTCTGTCCGCGCGGAATTAAAAAAACCATGTAGTAGCCTACGTGTTCTTCCACAATATATTCTACCAATACAGTTGTTCTGGATATACCTTTAACAAACATCCAAACATTGGCATTTATAATATAAGTAAGATATTACGTGTAAATTAATAATATATAATGTAAATTTTGAAAATAATCATTATTTACTTTATAATAAAATAACACAAATAAATCGTCCAATAAAATGTGTTAATATATCCCGGACTTCAAATAAACATATAAATGCACAAAGGATCGTAAAGCTTCTGGTGTTGGCTATTTGTTTTATGGCAAATAGCTGACAAATACAAGTTCAATTGCAATAATATTTTACGACAACCCACTTCTTTAGACTATTAAAAAAGACGACAACGGATTAAACGGCAGAGTAACATGGACATAACATTATTTAAATTTCGAATTGTGTCATGGTATTAGTGTCGGCTCAAAGGTTAAAACACTTGACTTGTAGCTACAGGGATCCTAGGTTCGAATCCCGCCATGTAACAATACGTTTTTCTATTATCGATTTAAATATGTATATTTATCCGACGTTCTTATGGTGAAGGAAAACGTCGTGATGCAATCTGCACATATTTGCGCAGAAATTCAAAAGATATGTGTGAAGTCAACAAACCCATATTGGGCCATCGTGGTTGACTATGGCCTAGTCAGCCTTAACTTAGGGTAGGCACTGAGCCCCTCGGTAGGGACGCATACGTATGATATAATATGTTTCGTAATCTTGTGCATTGTGAAAAGAGGACGTAAACATTTGTTTTAAAAAGTTATTTACTGTAACCATATATTTTAATGTAATACTGTGCAGTTGGAATTGTATTTGTTAATTATATTCACTTTCATTTACCCTTCATTTAATTTACATTTAAGTGTTAATGAGTAATGAAGGGGCTAAAACATTTTTAATCAAAAAGTAGACAAGTACACCTCTTGTAATTTAAGCCACAAATGAACATATACAACGCGAGCACTCAAGCAAGGTTTAGAAATTATCGTCCGTTTTAATTTGACATAGATGGAGCGCGCTTGACAGATCCTGTCTCTTAAATGTGAAAGTATATGAAGTAAATAATTCAAATAAATATAATTAACCCCTAAGTATAATAACATTATTAATTAAACACTTTGTCCTTACAGTTTTTTGGAGGTTATTTTAGTGAATGTCAATTGTAATTTTCAAGTTGGTTTCGGAAGTCAATAATTTTGCAATGGAAATTTTACGCGCAATTTTAAATCTGTCGATTCATGGTCTTGGTTATTGACCTTTTATTTTAAATATATAATTTAATTAAGAAAATTATATATATTATAATCTATAACATAAACGTATAGAAAGGGAAAACATCTTTTATATTATACATTCTAACTTATAGATGTATATGGTCAGCGGTCATTTCGCTATTGAAGCGAAATCAGCTGGCCGTTTGCTCTCTTCCCACGTTTGACTAAAACAGTAATAGTATATTTTCTTTAAATACTTCATTTCACCTTCGTAATAATTCAAGAGGTGAACTGGTGCTTGACAGCAGTACATAAGCATCTGTTTCATTTTCTTAAAAAATGCATAATATGTTTTCATACAGATTTTCATGCTATGGAAACGCATCGAAATACAACGGGTAGCACGTGAGATTATTTGAACTAAAATATTGTAGGATTGTCATCGACCTTATAAAAAACTCAAATGTTGAAAACTCAAGTCATCATTCGATGGTTGAATATCGTCAAATGATGACGTTTTCAAATGATCACGGCAAAAATTAAAATTGAATTTACATTTTGCATACATAATGTAAGTTAAATGGAAATACAATAAATTGTATATTATATTAACTGACGCTCGCGACTCTCTCCGCACGGTACTAAATAAAAAAAGCGTAATAAGTAGCCTATGTGTTCTTCCAGACTATGTTCTACATCTATGCCAAATTTCAGTGAGATCCGTTGAGCCGTTGCAGAGATATCTTCAAACATCCATCCATCCAAACATTTGCATTTATAATATTAGTATGACATGATAGTATGATTTAATCGACTGTTTTATTTTATTTTTGCAATGTGATTTAATATATTGAAATGCAGTTTGTCGTTTTACACGTTTAAATGAAGTTCAATGACGTGGGCTTTTAAGAGCCTATTTGAAGTCTAAGTTAAGTAGCATTTTGAGCACTATCAAATGTTATTGACGCTGGTAATTTATGGTTCAAAGTCAAAGCAAACGTTTGTTTGAGTTACACAAAGTCAAAGATATTTTTTCTAAAGAAGGTGAATTAAGGCCAATTTACATAAGGTATTTGATCTGACAATTGCACTTTGAAGGACATAACTTAGGTGTTAGGACTTAGGTGTCACACTCGATAAATCACTTAACTTTAAAAGTCACATTGATACTATAGTTAAACAGTCAGCGAAACTTTTAGGCCTCATAAAACGTAACACCCGTGACTTTAAAAACAACAAAACTAGAATAACCCTGTTCCATGCATTAGTACGCAGTCAGTTGGAATACGATAGCTCTGTGTGGAATCCTTTCTACTCAGTGGATTCCCAAAGAATAGAGAGAATACAGAGATGTTTCACTAAACATGTAGCATTTATTTCGCAAGGTATTAGCCACCGCTGTCCATACGAGCAAAGGCTGAAGTTTCTTAAAATGGAATCGCTACGAAATCGACGCCGCACGAACGACCTTTTATTCTTGTTTAAAATTGTTAGGGGTCATATTAGCAGTAGCAACTTGGTTAGTCAAATAATGTACAGTGTACCACTTAGACCACCCAGGCAACCAATAACCAAATTATTTTATATACCCTTTTATAAATCAAACATAGGCCTTAACTCACCCATCCCACGGATATGTCGGACATATAATGAATTAAAAAGAGGAAAGGATATTACTGATATTTTCTGCACCTCCTTACGTAATTACAAAAAACTAATTTCCACACCTCCAGAGGCACAGACCTAAATATATTGTTAGATTATTATTTTATTTTTTTTTGTTTTATTTCCTTGGTTTGTTAATATATTTTTTTTGTGTTTTATACTTGTTTGTTTCGTATGAATGTTGTACACCTGTTATTGGATAAATTATCAGTTTTATTGTGTTGTATATTGTATTACTTTGGTCAATGTTGCATAATTTATCTGTTGTGTGTACTTGTCTAATAAATAAATAAATAGACATAACTATGTATACAGATTAAAAAAAATATTTAAAAACAGAATTTCTAAATAATAACCATGGATTTTGAATGTTTGCACATGTCTTCTTAGCGATCCTAATCTACTTGTAACATTTTAATAAAACTAAAATTGGGTGTTCCGAGACCGAAAAAATTTTTATTTATTTTATAAAACCTTTTTTGTAAACTTTTTAATGTTTTTCAATAGTTAGGCCTTAAATTATAATACGTTAAAATTGTTATGGTTATATATGACAAAAAACATGGAAGTTACTTGCTTACTTGTTCTGATTAGTCTAACAGTGGGATTTCATTAACAAGACAATGGTCCATCTACTATTAATTTAATTTGTTTCCTAAGGTGTATTATTTTTTATAGTTAATTAAATTAAAGTTATTTAACTATTATCGCAATTAAGTTGCGATATATCATTATATTTAATCAAATTCTCGTTTAATGTTTAATCTTATATATTTAAAATACGAATAACAACGTCGTAAGCTTATTTAATATTCAATGCAAAATGCGTATTGAACTAATTGTAACCAAACTGTTTTTAAACTAACGAAGGTATTTATATATTCTGACTAATATCAGATTTTCTCCCATATAGTATATAATACTACTAGCGGACCCGACAGACGTTGTCCTGTCTAAACGTCTTTAATTTGAATAAATTACTATGAAGTTTGATGAAAATTGTGAATCTAAACCATTCCCAGATCCCCTTGAACACACACAAAAAATTTCATCAAAATCGGTCCAGTCGTTTGAGAGAAGTTCAGTGACATACACACTCACAGAAGAATTATGTATATAAAGATATTGTTTTTTTTTTTAAATTAGCTTTTTTCAATTAATTGTATTTGCTGTGTTTAATTTCCTTTAATTCAATTTATCTTATCTTTGTTTTTTTGCAATTATGTAATCGTACGTTCATTCATTTATATAGTAATTTTCAGCCATTCAGTCAGCGCATTTTAACCTAAATTATTTTTTAATTTAATTTTCCGTTCGTCGCCTTTTTTATTTACACTGGGTTAAATGTCAGTTAAATTGAAACTTTGGTTTTTCAACATTCATTTCCTTTGTCTATTGTATTTAAATATTATTATAATTTTAGTTACTTATAGTTGTAATGAAATTAAACTTCGAAAAACAATACAAATTTATGCAACTGGATCCATTTTTTCGATATTAATTTAAAACCAATTTGAAAGTTTCATGAATTGCCTAACGTGTGTCCAGTTTTTACGTCTATATCCAATTAAATATTTTTTTTTTATGATAAGATGGCAAACGAGCGAGCGGCCACCTGAAATCGCTGAAATAGCGAAGTGACCGTTGCCCATAGATATACGCAATTGCATATGCGTTGCCTACCTTTAATCGACGGAAGAGAGGATGCACGGAAAGAAAATATTTTCCCTTCCCATGCATCCTCTAATCCGGAAAGTCCACTTCCACTTCCCATCCTTTCCTTATAAGAAAAAGGTTGGGAAGGGTAAGAGGACTAAATTAGGCCTCCGGGGCGCACACTCATCAGACGAAACGCGGAATTTCT